TATGAATGGAAGATGAGTATGAATGAATTAGATATTCATTAGCTTTAACGTGGGTGTAAAAATGATTAACTAAAATCGCTGCTAACGAACGTGAAAGTTAAAAAGAACATTGTAATTTTCTTCTTCATTCCAACCACTCACTCACTATTGCCGTTAGTTGGTTGCCCTTGATTTTTTTCCAACAACTTAATGATGATGATGATATGCCATGAGAAAAGTTTTTCAATTGAGTAATCTGCAAAAAAGTTATTTGAAGAAGATTTATATATTCTTGTAATGAATTGTTGTGGATTTCTCAGTTATTTTCTTTTTTCGCATTGATTTTTTCCTTTTAGTTATAAAATTAACAATGTTTATTATACTATTACTTGAGTTTTAATTAATTCACTTAACACTCTAGTAAAGATTCATAAAAAGGTAGTTTATATTTTTTATTGTTAAAAAGTTTAAATTATAAACCAGAACTTTAATGATGGCAGATTATGTTTGCTGGGAGATATAACAGCTGCAAAAGTGCTTTGAAAATGTTTCATTAATATTTTATTAATAACATCTGATGATTTTGTAAAATGGTTTCCTGTAATCTAAAGGTCCAGTAATTAACGCAATTTTTTAAATATTTAAATTGTTAAATGCGCCATTGAAATCTTAACTATAATCTAACGTCCGTATTTATAAATATGTAACACATAGTAAAACATATCGCTCATTTGCTCCAAGACTGACATACATCAAAAAAGATCGTTGTTTTTTTCTTTTTCTTAATTTCTTTGATAAATTAAACCAGTTTTAAATGTCAGAGGTTAATATATTTTTCATGTAAACTTCTATATCCCATACCAGTTAAGAGAATAAATTGTGATTTATTTTTCACAATAAAGCATTTAAGTTAAATTATATTTGCCTCCCATATATGTATTTAAGCAATTTATTGATTAACAACTAATTTTCTGAAAGAGCCTTTATATTGGGGCTGGCAGGATATGTTGACCGATCCTCATAAAATGTATTTATCCTAAATTTCATTGCGATATTAGCCTTTTTTTAAGCGATTTGTGGACATTTAACCCATTTTCTCAAGGAGGGAGGGGTCAAGTGAGGCCCTAGATAACGCATTACGGAACTATTTCTGTTTCAGTTCTCTACATTAAGGAGTAACTATTTTTCGTTTTATGTTCTTTCAAGTTTTTCTATTTAAATTATAAACAAAAACAATCATATTACGATTATTTAATACAACTAAATCAAGAAACACATTTCCCATCACAAAGCAAACATTTTACACCCACACCTAAACTTTAAAGAATTGTGATTATTTAAAATCTTCTTTGCTGACAAAATTGTGATAAATTCTTAATTAATACCATTAAATTGTGAAAATATTTCATCACTCTTAATCCTCTAATATCCTTACTCTTGACTTTTAACACAATTATTTTGCAATAATAAAATTATAAAATATCTTTTCATTTGCATTTAAACAGTCCTGTTACACATTTTTAAAAATAACAACATTCCTTATTTTATTTATAAATAAATATGTATGTTTGTATGTATGTTTTTCTCTCTTGTCTACATTTGAAGCTAAAATTAACCACAACAAATTTAAGTCATTGTCTAAATTTGTCGTTTGACTCGTACACACATTAGGAATGTTGTTTACTCAACAATGTATAAAACTCCCACTTAAAGGACTTAAATAAAACGTACGAATATATGAAATTCGTCATAATAATAATAAGTTTTAATTAAAAAATGCCTGAGACTTTAACCCCGTTAGTCTCATTTTCACCTGTCAAAAATAAATTATTATCTGGATGTAATAATGTATTAGGGTGAGATGTTAGTGTATGAGACCGAGTTAAATGGCTTGAAAACACAAGCACAAAAAGTCCTGTTAAGAATAATATAACAAAAACGTTAATTAAAAACTTTTCGTCATTCAAATTTCTACAGAATTTTCAAAACAAAAATCATACCATTTAGTACAAGTTTCTAAAATGATATGGTTGTTATAAACGATTTATTTAATACGTACTTGAGTTGTTGTAAGTTTATGGCAGTTATTTAAAAAACGTCACAAAATAACTTACAAACATACATACATACTTATTTTCACCCACTCATGAACTCAATTTGTAAGTTACTCACTCACTTAACCATTGGCTTATATACAAAGTTAGTGAGTCAATCTAGTATCTAAATGTAATGGGTTGATGAGAAATTCTTTCAAAGGCGTCATATTTAACAAAGAAAAATGTCAACAGTTCCAAAAACAAACTAAAACTAACTATATAGTCAGTCAACAAGAAAACTTAAGTGTTATAGCGATTATCTTTTTACACAACTATACAAGTAGACACTGTTTCAAATTTTAAATATATGTATGTATATAATACCTATGCATATACTTTGTGAATATCCCTATGAAGGCCCCGAAGAGAACGGATTCTTATCGGATTGTTATTTTTTGGAAGTAACAAAGCAATATTCAAAAAACCTTAAAATTCACCAAATTATGTTTTTTTCATGTTATAACATTTACATTTTAAATTGTACTCTCATCTGAGTGCCTTTCATATAATTTAAACCAATTTATATTTCTTTACATGTTTATTTATGTATATTACTTTGATTTTATAGACAAACTTGTTGCTTTATAAAATCATTTGCCACAAATGCATTAAAAATATTAAAAGATATAAGCTGTTAAATTTATGAAAATTTTATACAAATATGCAAACATGTGTTGTCACTTAATATATTTTACTTTACACAAAAATAAAATAAAATACTATAGGAATGTAAAATAATTTAAATTTATTAACATTTAAAATGTTTATTTAAAAACAGAAGTTAGTGTACTTTGATAATCATCATTGAATTAAAATCACTAACAAGCTATATGTACTGTCAAAGACAACAAAACAACTTTAAATGTGTAGCTATTTTTATTGCTAGAACATAAAAAGTGATCGGTATTGTGTGTGTCAACTAACAATCGATATAAGTAGATGTATAGTCACAAGTTCTAATATGGGGATATAGCTCAGTGGTAGAGCATTCGACTGCAGATCGAGAGGTCCCCGGTTCAAACCCGGGTGTCCCCTGAATTAACTTTTTTAATTATTGAAATCATCAAATATTTTATTAAAAACTGGAAACATTTAAAGTATTATTGAAAATATTTGAAAAATTCATTTAATTTTTTGGACAAAAAATATTCCATATGATTTCAGTATTGTACACTATATATGAACGCTACTAACATACTAATCTCAGTACAATAAGAGAGATATAGGAGTAGGGTATACCGATTTATTCAAATCCAAAAATATAAATTTAGTGCTAAAATTTTTGCAAAAATCATAACTTAATAATAATTGGGACAAAAGTCACCAGGACTAAAAGAATAAAATGAGGAAAAATTCTGGGTGATTCGACTTTTTTATTCCTTTTTCGGAATCTATTTACACTCCAAATAAATCTGGGATTAGTGAAAATTATTTAAAAAGTTATGGACATTAAGCTGAAAACCCGATGAAATGTTTTTTTGAGATTTTCAAACTTTTTGGGAATTGCAGGATTCCTGAACAAAATTAAAAAAAATAGTCAATTTCCTATCTATAGACATATAATCTTGACATTTCCACATACATGTATATATTAAATTAAATAAAATACCTTAAAAAATATCGGAACAATGATTTTTTATATATATTTTGATTCTAAATTTTTTTCAGTTCCACCTATTTTGTTATTTTTTTTTAATATTACAAAAAACCTATTTTGAAAAATCTCGACCTACAATTTGAAACGAACTGACAAAAGCAAATCCCCACTGTATTGTAAAAAAAAGTGTTATTATGCTTAATAGCATACATAACAGTTAAATAACTGTTTAAAAAGTATTGTAAAGAAAATAATAAAATTTTAATATTTGTTTGCCTAAAAACTGAAGTATAAATTGAATAAAGTATGAAATTAAAAAAAAAACACATAAAAAGACAATATTTCTTAAGATCTCGGCAAATGTAAAAAACGTAATAAAAATTATGTTATGAATACATAAAAATAAAGAGCGAAACCAAAACAACGTTTTATGGCTTAAAAATAATGCAAGTACGAGTATATAGAAAAATAAACAATAAATTTTATACAAACATTGACTAAATATAAAAATATATACCTAATAATAATAAAATACAACCAAGGAAATAAATGCACAAGTTCTAACAGGAAAAAAACGAAACCGTATTGTAGAAAAGATTTGCAAGGTTTGCAGAATTAACAAGAGCAAAAATACATTTTCAAACTTGATTATGCCATGTACGAGTACTTGTGTTTTAAACGCGAATTAAAACGAGAAAATATATAAAAACTGGAGGCTATTATTTTGTAAAATACTAGGAGGGAGAAAACTAGAGAGAAATTCAAGGGAATTATATGGAACAATGACATGAAAGTGATTTGTGGTTGTGTATGGATGATACCAAAGTATAGTTAGCTCTCCCCGTTATTTGGTACTAACAGTGCAATGCGTTTTGTATTATATCGACGTTTGGCTGGGAAAACAATACACAAGGCATCGTTTAATGCCACCGAGCATCATTCACAAGGGAGTTGTAGTATAAAATGCTAAATTTCAAACAATATGCAAATTGTTATGTCTATTGTAAATAAAATAAATCGACTTTTATATGCATGTATTTGCAAATATGTATGTATGTTCATATAAAATAAATGGCTAATGATAAAATTTATGGGAAACTAATACAAAAATATACTCGCGGAACTTAAATGAATTAAAATAGAAAATAAAATGAATTGAAATGAAATGATTTACTTACTTGGTAACCATATAAAGTTAGCAAAATTTTGTATCAATTAAATGTGAATTAGTGAGTTTTAAATAATGAGTCTTGATTATCTATTAAGAATGTTGAAATATTGGTAAGTTGAAGATTAACTTTTCTACATTATAGAGTTATTCATTATTCTGATTTATACCTATAAATTAGAAAATTTTATTAGATATTTTATTTATTACAAATGAATTTAAAACACCTTATATTTTGTAAATTCAGGTTTTGATTTCTAAAGTATGTTGATTTAAATGTAATGATTTCAATCTAAAAAGAGAAAAAATATATATTAAAAACAGTTGTGTACAAAAACAACTTAATATTTATAAACTTACCGTTGTGTAATTTTGCTTGTTTTATTTAGGATTTTAAACCAATTTCTCCTGGATTGAAAATTTTTACATTTCTATCATTGACTTTGTACAAAACCTCCTTTGATGAATAATTGCATTCGTAACTGTTGTCGGCCTCGTCTTGTATTTTCTTAATCAACAATTTACCATCTACTTCACGGAATACACCACTTTTAAGTTTAACAACACGGATGTGTAAAGAACCCAATTTGGCCACATTATTATCATCTAGATTGTATATGTCACAATTGCTCATTTTTGTAATGATGGTTAAATTCTCAAATTCTTGCGATAGAGCTACCAGATTATGACAGAATTTCTGTATGTCCTCCTTGGTGGCACCCAAATTGTACAAAATTGCCAAATTATCAATAATAACAGTGGTGTTAATACGGGATGTAAAGCTGTTGCCTGATATTTGTTGCTTAATATCGGCCAACAGTAAATCGGTGAAACGGCATTCATTTGTCAACCATTTGCTGTTAAGGAAATCCTCGGCCATGTCATTCAGAGAGTCTATAACACGAAGAGTTTTACCCAAGAATATATTGCAATTATAGCCCAAACGCATGCCAGCATTAAAATAGTGTTGATAGTTGTGTTGCAAACATACGAGTAAGGTGCCAGCATTGGAAATACGCAAACGTTGACCCAGAATGGAGCTAATTAAGAAGCTTCCATCAATATTGGATTCCTCACTGATGTGTATGAATGATGGCAGTTTTTGCTCATTCAAACCACAAGCAAATAAAACAGAAGCAGCCATTATTCTGAAATTTAAGAAAATAAACAATGAAATATTATTGTAAATAAGTCCTCCAGAACACTATTTTCAATTTGCAACAAATGTTGCTTAATTCAGTTTTAATCAATAAAATTATCAATTATTAAAATAAACAACTTTGAAAGAAAGAATTCTAAAATATTATGGAATACTTTTAGAAAAATGATAAAAAATATCTGTGTCTATACATAATTTATCTCACGATTCAATGAACTTTTGAATACACATTTCACAATGTAATGTGCCAAGAAACATTTACAACGATTTAATTAAAAGAAAAATAGAATGAAAAACCTAAAATTTGCAATTTGAATTTTTTAACATGCCAACCAGGAGAATAACCAACCAACTATGTATGTACTTCAAACAATTCAGTTGTCACCAGATGAACACCACTCAGTACAATAGCACTGGAGGTCATAAAACAATCATGAGGATTTGTTAAGTTTGTAATATTGGTGGATGATATTGTGAGTGGTAGCACTCACTCAGCCTCCCAAATAACTAACTGTGTAAACAATTTGTGACTATTCTGTGTGCAATTTGTACGAAGTAGCTTCATTTTACATGACAGAATTCCAGCTATTATTGTTGCAGTTGGTGGGATGTTTTATGTACTTGTGTTAAAACCACAAGTAATTTTTGTTAAAAGTTCATAAATAAAAGAAAAGCTCGTTTTGCACTACAAATGTCTCATTTTTATTTGCTTTCCCCTTGATGTAAGTCGTTTGGAATTTAATTAATAAATTAGCAAAAACAAAACTGAAAAATTGCATCCAAATCCTTATAATTTAAAAGAATTTTAATTTCATTTCCGTAGTAAAATTTCGGTGTAATCATATATAATAAAAATTTACATACATATTTTCTTTTTTGTAAAAAAAATTATTATTAATTAAAAAAAAAAAAAAAAACTTGGCCCATGAGGGGATCGAACCCGCGACCTTCGCGTTATTAGCACGACGCTCTAACCAACTGAGCTAATGGGCCGATGTCTATCTGCTGTCAGAGTACAAACTAGTATTAGGTTATTGTATACAAAGCAATTGAAAATGATAAATTCATTAACAAGGTAATTCAAATATTATTTAAAAGTTGACAAATAAATTGCCTAACAGGAAGGTTCATATATTCTTCTTTAAACCTGGAAAGTACATATACGTTATGAAAATTTCAGTAACAAACCACTTGAGAATTAAAATTTTTTAAGAATAAAAATAATTTATATTCTCCTGGGGAGGGATAATTTTGTTGTGGTAAAAAGGTTGGATTGACTTATCGTATATCATTGGTAAAGAGGTTTTGTTTATTGTTAAAGTCACTTCCTGATCAGGATAGGATTCAATAAATTTCACAAGTATGCTTTAAAATTAACATGTATGTATATTAGACCGATTCACTCTGTATGGAAAGCAAAAACGTGTTTTTGTTACTCCTCTCAAAATTTACATTGCTTTAGTTTAAGATGATTCCCAAAATATTTTAAGTCTAGCGATGACCGTTGGTGAGCTGGACACAATTAAAAAAAGGTATTTTGGAATTATTTTTTTGAAATTTTTGTTTTGAAACAAAATATCCAATATGTATTATCGTTTGAAAGGGGACCGGAATATACATTTAATGATTCGGTGTGTTGCCGTCGAAATTACAAAAGGTTTTTTATAAATACAGCTATCTCTGATTTTAATGGTCTTTGGCCGAGTTATGATGGCTCAGGTCGGTCGTTCCAGAGGTTCATGTGAAAATCCAATGTAAAATGAAAAAAAAAAACATGTGGCCCATGAGGGGATCGAACCCGCGACCTTCGCGTTATTAGCACGACGCTCTAACCAACTGAGCTAATGGGCCGATGTTTGTCCGCTGTCAAAATAAACACTTGGATTAGTCTGGTGTTGTTATCTTGTTGTTACACACCTTGTTATTTTATGTTAAGAAGATAATTTTAATTAGTCTTTTTATTGAAAATCAAAAAGAAATCGAATAATAGGTAGAGAGTTGTTATTAATGTAGACTGACATATTTGTTTTTCGTATTTATGCATAAATATTATCGGGATTAATTGTTTTAATTCGAGGATTCGAAATTTTAAAATACGTAAATAAAAAAAACATTAAAATAATTTTTTAAATAAAACAAAAAGCGATATGGCCCATGGGGGGATCGAACCCGCGACCTTCGCGTTATTAGCACGACGCTCTAACCAACTGAGCTAATGGGCCAGATGCCGAACGGAGCTCTCAATAAATGGATAATATAATTGAAGTACCGATGCCATTGTATAAAATATTTTTTTATTATAGCCTTCAATATCGAGAAAATGATGTACATATGTATATATGTATGTATGTAAGTTTGTCATTCCGTTAGTAACTTCTACAATATTATTTCCGGTCCCATAAAGTCTATATGTCCCCAGATAACTTTGGGATCCAAATCTTGAATAATTTTGTCAGACTTGCTTTCGAGAAGTTTCATATTTAAAATCAGAAAAATCGGACCATAAATATCGAAAATATGTATGAACAACCTCTGAAAATTTCATCAAAAAATGAGCTTTTGTGGATGCTGTTGAAAAAAGGAAAAACAACAACATACAGCTTCATACGGTAATTGCTGTTCTTGTATTTAGTTTGCTTGTTTATTAAAACAAAGCAGAGCAAGAACAACAGGTTAAGAAATACAGCAGTGATGGGAAATGATGAACAATTATCTTAATCGAAATCTTCATATAGTTTCTCTGAATTAAATATTTTTAAAAATTTTATAATTCTTTAAACAGATTTCATTTAACTTCCAGTTAAGCTGTTATTGCTTGTGATAGCAGAAATAAACCTTTTTTTAAATCTTAAACATTGTATGAAAAATATTTATTGTATCTAAAATATAGATTTGCAAATAAGTTAAACAAATAAAATTTTAAAAATTAGAACTTAAACAACATCATTTTAACACATTCTATTTTTCAAATATTTTCAATGGACTTGCTGTATGCAAAAAGTAAACAGTTAACAACAATAATTATTTAATTAGTACAATAAATAAATATAACAATGTACTACTTGAAAAATACTTGTCATATTATGATAATAATATTCATAAATTATCTCAATAAAAGTACTACAGTAAATAATATCTTTAAAATAAGTATTTTTTAATATATTCGTATTTGTTATCCCAATATTATGTTTTAATCCTAAAACTCATTGTTATCAATTCTGACAAAGAACCAATTTAATTTAATTAAAATCCAAACTCTTCAAATTTGTAGTGCGTGTATCCATTAATTAAATAAATATCTACTATTTATTTTATTTACACGCATTCTGTTGTCATCGAAACTATTTTAAATTATTAAGAGAAAAAAATATAAAAATTGCCACATAAAACTAAAAACCAATTGCAACTGTAATTAAATGATATCATTTTAATTATGTTTTATAATTTTATTTACCAACAAATGGAGAGAGAGAGTAGAGCCACCAATTGTTTATGATAATTTCAATGGTTTTTGAAAATGTACGCGATTTTATTATTTTATAAATTAACAATTGAAAATGTTGTGAAGAAAACCACAATGATGTAGCTGTTAGCTGTTTAAGTGGTAAAATTACAACAATTATAATTTCTTTTTTATTTAAAATGTTATTTTATGTATTTAAAATAATTTTTATTCTATTTCTTTTCATTTTATAATTAAAAAGTTCAAGTGTGTTGGCATAGTTTTCTCTAATATCTGATTGATAAGTCGTAAGGATAAACTGATTAAACAATCCATATCAGAATGGACAGAAATATCTTAATCAACGGTGTAAATGATCCTAACCCGATTGGTATACTAAATATAAAGCGCTTAGATTCCTGCTTTGCGCTGTAAAAGAAACCTTTTATTTTTGGGAAATTATTTATAAAAAAATTATAATTTGGTGGGATATCTATAGAAACGTGTTTACCAATTGCAATGGACTAGCAAAAATTTAATAAATGCTAATAAAAGCAGGAACGTGTAACATACTTAGGTACAAAATATCTGATAAATATATATATTCTAATGAGATATTCAAAAATGCAAAACCAAAGTGTAAACAAAAAAAAAAACACATATACATTTTCTATTTGAAATTATAACCATTTAATAGATAATTTGAACAAAACGTGTACTAGAAATTGTTAAAATGACTCACAATTAATATGAGATTATTGAATAAAGAATATGAAAAATGCAAACAAAAAATATCTCTCAAATAAAAGTAAAATTTAAACAATTAAATAAAACTTACATGCTCTATACGAAATACATAAAAATAAATAAAATGTATATTATTAACTCGTAGTTTAAACGCACTTTTAATCAAAAAACGCCAGGGCTTTCTATAAACAAGCTTTTTTAACTAAAACTAACGATCAATCTGATGAGCATACATATATATTTTTTGAAGAAATCTCCTAAATAAATCGGGAGAGAAATTGATAAGAAACTATTCAATATGATTTTATTTAATAGTCTTCTTTGTTCTCTGGAAAAGATCACAGTAAAAACTTTGTTGTTATACACCAAGCGTTATGGAAGCAAAATAAATGACATGTTGTCGATGATTAGACAAAAATAAAATAGCTAAAGCAAACGAGCATAAGAATCTGCTCACACAACATTCAAGGAAATTTATTTAACATCACTAACACTTAGTTTGCCTTCAATAGATTTTGAAAACAAATTAAAGAAAAACAAGATTCTAGCCATTGTGCTAGAAGATCCAAAATAGTTTATGAAACATTGAATCGTTCAGTAAACATGTCAGCAGATGAATATATAGACAGGTCTATAGAATATGATTTAAACTAATATACGGACTATTCTATCAACAAGCCTATGTAAATTATATTTTATAAATCTTGTATAAAATACAAATTTTGCAATGAATATGGGGTTGGATAAAAGCCCTGCCCTCCATTAAATTTCATTGAGTGTATGTAAACGCCGACTATTTGTTTGCTAGTCTCGTTCGTCTGCCACTAGCTAGCGTTAAACGTTTAGAGCGTTTTTGAGCACTCATAAGTTTCAAAATACGAGTTGTTAGAGCTAACATTAGTTTGTGGTGGCAGGTCGTATGATTCAATACGTTTCAGTTTTTTATACTCGTTTGTAGGGAAAATAAGTAATAAACTGGAAAATAAAATATATTAAATTAAATTAAAATACCATCAAATAAATGTATGTTTTATAAATCATACATTAACATTTAAACAAAATAAAGAATATTAATAAATAAAACTAATTAGTTACAAATTGTAACAAAAGAAATCGACGTACAAAATATCAAATAAACCAGACCAGCCAGCTGATATTCACAATTGCACAAACATTTCCAAGGTAAAGTTCAAAACGGAAAATTATTTACTTTTTTTTTTATTAAGCAAATGTGAAAACAACAAAAGTAATTAACGCAAAAACTTAATGAAATTATCAAAAAGCAAAAAAAAATCTAATTAATATTTTGGATTTTCTTATAAAAAGTAATACTTTATTTTGACAAAACTATCACGCGTTTGGTGTCAACTGTGATTAGAGGACATTATGAGATAGAAAATGTTGTTGTCATTCAAAAAAAAAAAAAAAAAAAAAACTAACGTTTATCTAGAGTGTCTAGAGACAAATGTTAACATTGTTAACATGTGTCTAGAGACAAATGTTAACAGCAAAAATGACGTAGCAATTGCGAAAAGGTTGTTTGAGAAACGTATTCAAATGTTTGTTTTCGTTTACAGAGGTACCAGTATCTTTCGGTTTGTTTATTTGGAAAATTATTTAAAACGTAATGATGTGAAATTTCAAAACATTTTCAAAATATTTACATCTGTTTTCTTTTTAATTTTTGGGTACAGTTCAAACAAAATAACTAAATCTCTACAATTTTTAATTATATAAATTTAAAAAATAAACAAGCAAATTTTAAATGTTTGTGTTATATTATATTTTAGTTTCCGGGGTAATTAAAATATAAAACACCTATATAAAGTTTTCGTATATATGTATACGCATTAATTCAAAAAATTATATATAATTAGGGAATTAATAATAATTATGTTCTCTGTATTGGCCTAGGTACATATATAAAAAGTTCGGTTCCATGAAAGGTTTCGTTTAGAAACGAAAGTATATACATATAGCACTTTTTAGATTAAAAGTTTTTTATTTAAATTATCAAGATAAACAACTTTATAAGTTCAAGTTCTTGTCAGCTTATTATGTTTTATATTTTATTGATAAAAATTTCCCTGACAGCAGTTTACGATAATCAGGTAACATTTAGCTCAAAATTATCTTTATTATTGTGATAAAAAAAATACTTATAATTGAACTTTATCAATATTTTCTTCACTAAAATGAAAGGTATTTAATTAATTTTAGAAATGTTGAAATGAAATTATTATTAGAAAATAAATAAAACTACTTGAAAAGACAAAAACAAAAACATTTATGTTTATAACCAAAGTATCCAATAGGAGAATGATTTCTTTAGTAATTCGAACTTAAATTGTTTATCCAATCTATAGAATATTTAAAGCAAGAAATGCCTAAAGTTCAACAAAACGTTTATTTATTTATTTTAAAAATGTCTAAATAAAATTAAATTTTAAATCAACTTATTAAACTTATTTCTTTTTAACCTGGTAACAAAATAAAATAATAAATTTGTATTACACCCTAATCTCCTATATACATTCAAGTCTATAATGAAACAAACATTATATTGTATGTTTCTTTTGTATACAAATTGTAAATATTGATTGACTTTTACCTTTTAGTATTATTTTATTTTCCGCAAACATAATCACACACATACATACATATGTATCTAAAACATATAAATAAATGTATTTTAATAAAAATGTTTTTTATGTAATGTTTAGAATAAACAGGCCTGATAAGAGTTTCAACAAGAATTCTTCAATTAATAAAAAAAATTAAGGGGTTTGTTTTTAAGGCAATTATTTGAAATCAAACTACATACAGGTAAAACAGCATATCATTAATAAACTACATATGTATATATGTACATATGTATTAAGTATTCAACAACTTAATTTGTGTTTTGAATTTTTGATTTTGTTTTTTAATTTTGCAAATAGCACATGTTATTGGGGAAATATCTGATGATTTTGTGTTTTTCTAAAAAGTCTATATATATATATACATTTATATTTTTTATGATGTTTTTAAACATCTTTATTTATATATGGATAACCCACGTGATAATTTTCGCTATATACAAAATGGAAAATCTGAAAAAAAATTGTCATTGTTTTTCATCATAAACTGACACTACTTCCATACCTTTCCCCTACTTCCATACATCCCCTTTCTATCACTCTGTACCCTCATTCCTGATCTATAAAAATTGTCTAAATAAATTTTCAAATTTATTTGTTTATCAGAATTTTATACACATATTCAGTTAAAAATTTCTCTTTATCTTCTCTCCAGCCAACGAAATTCATAATTTCGTGTGAAACAATAGAAAACGTTTGTGGTCAATGTCAAATTGTAAAAAAAAAATATTGCTAAAATTTTGTACAAATAACAACAAGAGGTACAAAAATATACCAATATAATAATATTTTTATATAAACACACGCTTCTCAAAATGCGGAACATTTTTATAAAAAACAAGCCCCTTATTTCGTCAACAAAATAAAAACAACCAAACAGAAATGTTATGTATTAAAAAAATAATAAAACAAGAGAAGAATTGGGTAATAGCGTGTGTTGATAAATAATTTATATTGTACCTAAAACAAGTATATTTATTTAATACATATTTACTTATTTCGTCTATTAAATTGATAAAAATAAATTTTCCATAACATAATCTCATATGTTAATAATCTTTTTCCAGTGGTCATTTTTATGGATTTTTGAAACAAAGAATGTATTTTTTTTTTTGTTTTAGAAAAAAAAAAATTTTCTATAACAATAATCAGAAATGGTGAAAAATTGTTTGTCATTATAAAAATATTTTTTATCGCAGCATTTGATAAATTTAAACAATGTTTGCAAATTGTTATAAACCCACTGATTGTACATATTTTGTTACAAGATTGAATGAGTTCTACCCAAAATAATTATATTTAAATCCAAATGAATCAATAAGTAACCAGGAAAATTATTTATTAATTTATTTATTTTTTATAAACTTTATTCTATAAAATATTTTTTATAGTGGAATAGTGATGAAGCTAAATAGGATTTAAAACATAAATACCTGTAAAAATATACATATGTATGCATGTATGCCCTACAATGAAGAATTTAATTAACACGAATTTCTTTAAGTTATATAGAAAACCACAGCCAGTTTATTCTATTTGCATAATAAATTTTTAATTAAAACCCAGTATATATATTTTTTTTTGGGATAAAAATACAGCATTTCAAATCTTATGCGCCTCACAACCAGTTTTAGAAGATGCATTTTTAGTGTTAATTTGTAATTTAAATAAGATGACTGACTTTCTAATAACTAATTTTCTTTTACAACGCATCGCACCTTTTTGAATTTTAAATTACAGTTACAAAAGCTGAAAGAAAGACCTATAAAATATTTGAGGAAAACGAAAAATGAAAACAAACAAAAACAATAATAAACTGAAGATTAAAAACATCGTATTGGGATGGAACAATTAAGGTCATTAACCTTTTACACGAACAAACATATGGGGAACTGCTTATAATAAAAATGCAACTTAAAAATTTTGATATTTAAGAAAAATAGTTGAAAAAATGGATTTTATAACAAGGTTTTGAGTATTATATAACCTGTTAACTGTTTTAGTTTATGTTTAGTTTGATCACAAACCAAGAAAATCAAACAAATTAGATTTTTTTCCAATTTTGCATTAATTCATTAACTAATTCACAAGCCACTTTTTAAAATTCTAAAGCCACATTGGGTATATATTTTTAAAATATTTTTTTCGATTAAATTTCGAATGGAATTTTTAAAATTACATTATAACATAACTCCGATTTCGAAATTTTAATGAGTGGCAAATCGGACTACGGGAACGCCATAAATTCCGCGTTTTAGCTATTACAACAACAGCAACAACAGGAAATTTACTTATAAGATTTGTACCATTACAAACTAACGAAGCAAGTCAAATAAAAACTTGTAATAAAAAGTGCAGAGAAGTCGAAAATATAATGGGGTAAAGTCCAAACAAAGTTTGGTACAACTAAAATCTGAAGAAATAGCTTATTGTGCAAAATTCTATCACAAAATATAATTTCGAAATATTTAGAATCCGTGGGAGTGCAAAAAAGAAGAAAAAACATAATTTTGAAACTCAACAAAAGGGCAATAAAGTGTATGTGAGCTTTCTGAAATTAATCTTGCTCATAAGAATGCAAATGTGTGATGGATAACGAGACATATTTTAGGAAGAAATTATTGACAGTCAAAGCATCCGCAAGCCAAAGATTCCAGGAAAAGTTTTGTTGTAGTTATCCGTAATACCGATCATAGTTTATTACGAAAAATTATACCACATTACAGAACTAAAAAAAACAAGTAAGAAAGTATAGTCGGGCGTGGCCGACCATATGATACCCTACACAAGTTATGAATATTAAATGTGATTTATTTTTCATAATAAAGCATTTATCTTCAATATTCCCTTGTTCCGATACATTTAAGCAATTTATGGATGAAAAACTAATTTTCTGAAAGAGGCTTTATATGGGGGCTAGGGGCAAATATGGATCAAGCCCGATAAAATTTTTTGAATATACATATTTATATTTACATAATATTTTATTCTGCTGAATTTCATTGCGATATTTGTGTTTATAAGTTAATTTGGGACAGTAATTTTCTGAAGGGGACTTTGTATGGGAGCTAGGGTCAAATGGGGCCCGATCTTTATAAAATTTGGCAGGGTCATCAAGACTTCTATAAAAATTAGTTGTGCCGTATTTTATCGATATATCTGTATATTTAACATAATTATGAGCTCAGAAGCCCTTTTCGGTGGGTTCTGTTCTATGGGGGCTAGGTGAAATAATGGACCGATTTTAACCATTTTCAATAGGCTTCGTCCTTGGGTCAAATAAAACGTGCGTGCCAAATTTCATCCAATCTTGAAAATTGCGACCTGTATCTTGCGCACAAGGTTTACATGGACAGCCAGCCAGACGGTCGGACAGACGGACACAGTTTAATCGACTCAGAAAACGATTCTAAGCCGATTGGTATACTTTAAGGTGGGTATAGGACGAATATTTTTGTATGTTACAAACATCAGCACAAATCCAATATACCCTCCCCACTAAAGTGGTGTAGGGTATAATTATACCACATTACAGAACTT